ACAGGTGAAGCTTCTGTTCCTCTATAGCGTTACCGTCTCAGAAACCCGCCAGAGCAGTTTGGCCCTGTCCTACACGGTTGCTGTGGCCGGCAGCGAGTAAATGTCACTCCTCTTCAGGCAGGCAGTTTGAAAACACCTGAGAACACCTTGTTCTCTTAAGTGGGGTTGATAGTATGCACTAGACTTGACTCTGACCACATGTTGTCTACCTTTTATATTCAGTCATATCCTCACAATGAGATCCGACACCATTGAGAGAGTATTGTCACGAATGAGTTAGAAATTCTGAGTACAATTGGACAGTCTCTTCAGTAGCTGTGACCCCGCCCACAATGATTAATATTTTCATTATAGAGAAGGGCAGTGTTTTATTTCCAGGTGAGATACAAAAATAAAATCTCTTTTTTTGGGGGGGTGGGCAATGGCTCTTAATTTCTTTCAATTTTGCTTCAGATCTAAGGATACTTAACTATCTTCCCCAAATAAATGTAGTGATCTGTACCCATTCCTTGATAATTTAACTTTTCTGAGTTTGTTTGTTTTTTAAGGTAGTCACAAACGGTCCCTTTTTTATCAATAGACTTGGAAATTTAAACAACTGGTGAAAATATATATTATTTGCTCTTGATTTTTTTTAACGTGATCCACTGAGAATAGGCTTTGTGTCTTTTTGTCTAGTTCAGTCATTCTCAATTCTGACTTGGTGGGAGAACCAGCAAGATTTTAAAAAATACTGATGACTTGAACTCACCCCCAATATTCTGATATAATCTGGGGTGGGATCAAGCTTACAGATTTTTAAACAATTCAATTGGTTGTAAATTTGCAGCCTAGTCTGTCTAGTTAGTCCACAAATAGATGGACATACCCCCACCCATTAGTAAATTTAACTGGTTCCCACTAGTACAAATTCCAGAACTCTTTCTTTTAAAACATGAATTTTAAAAAGACCTGCCAGCATTAGCCAGAGCTAAACAGTTACACAAACTGTTTTACGGAGCAAAACCCTATAAATTTAGGCAAAAGAACAAAACAAACATGAACGCTACCGAGCCAGATCTTGAACTAGGATCTCTAATGGAGATTAATATTTTCTTCAGCAGTCTGCCAGCTGAATCATCGTCTAATTAAACAGTTCAGATTTAGTGAGTTTGCATTTAAAGTATGAGCAGATCCGAGAATGGGTATAGCTAAGATGAGTTAGGATCTTTTCTGCAAATGGGAAGTTAAATTATCATAGTAATTTGATTAAATCATTTTTAAATCTCTCAAGCTAAATCACAGTCTTTAAAGAATAGTTTGAAGTCTTAATTGCTGTTTGTGAGCATATCTCTCTGCTATTTGTTCTCGCCTCGTTTCCTATGACATCGTGTAATATATCTCCCGCCCGGCAAGCTAGTGGGAAAGGAAAGAGGTGTTGGGGGCTGCTGTGGCGATATAGTGGGCTTCAAGTCTTAGAGGTCTATTGTGGAGGAGAAATAAAAAGTTCCCATAATGCTTTAGTTATTAGAACCAGAACCATAGCATGAACCATAGCTGGGGACAGATTTAGGAAAAATGGGAGGAAGGCTTCTAACAATTAGTTCCATCTTTTTGTGAAGTACACCCAACAGGACACTTCTCCATTAGCGATGTCCTAGAGGAGACTCACAGTGATGTGGGAGGTTGAGCCAAAGGAACGCAAAGAACAATTTTAAAGCATGAAAGAATTAATATCATGTTTAGTAATATGGATTCTAGTTGCATAATTTGAGTCACAGAAACCTGAGATTATGTCTGATGGATATTTACTACCTGTTTGAATTGGGAACTAAACAATCCTGACATTTATCTTCTTTGCAAAGTGGAACTCCTCCCACGAACTTTGCAAGATAATTAGGACAAGCAATGAGGCAATGACTATAAAGTGCTTATCAGAGGCCTCATCCAATATAAGGCCTTAGTAATTGGCATATTTATAGATACATACTTATTCAGCTTGTTATTTTGACATATGGGAAGGAACATAAGGTCGACTTATCCAACCTATTTTGGGATTGAAGATATGAACGGTAAGTGAAAACTGGTAAAAACAAATACAAAGGAAATTTCATGCTTTGTAGGGAAAAAAAAAATCTTTTCTAAGTAGACCGAAATAACAAGCTGAATAAATACTCCAAGAAACTGGATTTTTTGAGGAAGAATGGAGCCTACGCATTGGCAGAAGGACCTTCTCTATGCAGATGGCACGGCCTTGCTTGCTGAAAGTGAGGATATTTGAAATTTTTAAATAATAAACCTACAGCCAATTAAAATAAATCTATATGAGGATTAATTCACCAGTAATGTGATGCAACGATTCACTTGCTAATGAAGATCAAGGACGGCAGCCTTTAGTATGAGTTATAATTTATTGTAAAGATAACCAAAATCCTCACAAGTAAAAAATCAGTAACATCATGATAAAGGGGGAAAAAGACTGAAATTGTCAAGGATTTTTCTTGCTTGGATCCTCCATCCGTGGTCATATACACAAGACCAAGAAGTCAAATGACAGAGTACATTGGGAAAATCTGCTGCACAGTGCAAGTTTAAAGTGTTGATGAGGAGCAATGATGTCATTTTGAGGACCAAAGTGTGGCTAAACCAAGCCGAGTTGTTTTCGATCACATCATAGGTATGTGGAAATTAGACATTGAGCAAGGAGGACCCTAGAAGAAGAATCAATGCATTTGACTTATGCTGGCAAAGACTATTGAAAGTGCCGTGGTCAAGCATCTATATACACATGTATCTCGGAGGAAGTACAGCCAGAATGCCCCTTAGGAACATACTTTGGACATGGCAGGAGGAACGAGCAGGCTCTGGAGATGGACATAATGCTCACTAAAGTTGAGAGGCAGCAAAAAAGAGGAAGACCTTCAAGGAAATGGATCGACACAATAGCTGCGACAATGGGCTCAAACAGTTGTGGGGCAGAGCGGGACCAGACAGTGTTTCATTCTGTTTCACATGGCTCACTATACTAACATCAACAACACGAGCGTGGTTCTTACCACAATCATTTTTATTCCAAGAAGAACAATTTCTATGTGTCTCCATGCCCATCGTTTTTCCGTCAGAAAAAATTTCAGTTTAAAAAGAGAAAGAAAAAATTAATGTCGCATGCTATTGTTATCCCTTTGGCTATTTCCCTGTCACTGTCATTTGCGACCTCTGTTGATCGGTGCCATGGGCATGATTCTGACGGATAGCGACCCTGTGTGCCACAGAACCCATCACTGGGTGTGTGTGAGAACCTTGTGTTAGCCACGTCGCCAGTCTAGCTCATGGAATGTTCCTCTTCCAGCTCAGCAGACGTCGCAATGTATGTGCGCTTGTTTGCAGAAGAGACCACTAAGAAATGGATGAGATTCGCACGCCAAAAGCAACCAGAATGGAGACAATTCTAGACAGAAATGATTCAGAGGTAGAAGCTTGAGTGTATGTTGGAGAGTGAGTGCTGTGAGTTCCATGCAAGGCACCACTGTGGAAACATGATCATTTTGAAGGATTGCATGTTGAAGGATTTCGGGAAGCCAGGCAAAAATTAGATCTCCACAGCAGTCAAGTAGAGCATAACAAATCAGCAGCTCCATTCATGATTATTTGAAATTTTTAAATAATAAATCTACAACCAAGTAAAAGAAATATATATGAGGATTAATTCACCGGTGATGTGGTGCAATGATTCAAGAAGACATAAAAGAAGAAACAATAATGAACTTTAAGTATTATGTTACTTGTCTATATCCATCTGTTTTACATTGCCATGTTTTTTATTATATGTTCCAGTGCTAGAATTTAAATTATATCCCCCTCTCTTTCTTTTGTGCATGCAATCTGATATTTGAGTTGTGTGGAGGATTCAGCTAACTACTACATATATCTTCAAGCTCGGCATTCTCAGAGAAGTAGAATTATTAAACATGAACAATCCCCCAAAGACTCCATTATGTGTAATTAACAGATAAACTGTCATCAGAATCAATAAAACGTGCTAAATGATTCAAACTTGTATATAATTAAGTGTCTGTTTTAGAGCTAGAGCTTTAACTCCGCACCCCCCCCCCCATCTTACATTTCGCTCAAGAATAATTATGGCAACCTTGTTAACCCTTTCTTTGCTTGTTTGAAATCGATTTTTAAATTAGTCAGCTAAGTGCAAAGTTCACCTTCACAAATGTGAAAACTATTTCAGAACTCAATAATCTAAAGATGTCGCTTTTTTTAAAGACAAGAAGCAGGCGCTGTAAGGACACTTTAATGAACTGTTAATAATTCACTGAAGAAGCCTAACATGGTAGCATTTGTGTGTGTGTGTGTGTGTGTGTGTGTGTATTTCTGGAGAGGAAAACTGAACGTAGGCCTAGATTCCGCATGTTGCAATTCTTACGATCTTGGTCTAAGTCAAGGGTGTTTCCACCTTCTGAGAACCATGGACGCCTGAGGACACAATTAGCACTTTAAGCAAGTTTGTCTCACACAGAATGATGCTTTATGTAGACCTCAACCCACAATCATTTCTCGAGTGAATGGATAACTATGAAAATGAGTGAGCCAAGGCGTAAAATACAACGAACCCTCTCCCCCTGCTCAGTTCTTAGGAGGTTGAAATAATAGGTCGTTTATATAATCCCTGTGTGCTAAATTAGTATTGGAAATGAGTATTTTAGGAGGAAAATAGAGATTTGGGAAACGTGAGGCTGCTATTGAGGCGAGCGGACTCTTAGCAGCTGCAATAGCAGAATCGGTCGGCCCCGTGGGTTTTCCAGGTTCTCACCGCTACAGGAGTAGGTGGCCCGGTTTTCCCCGACACGGAGTTTCTCAGAGTGGCTTGTGGGTCAAACAGCCAGCCTTTCCTTTAGCGGCCAAGCACAGAAGCTCAGAGAAACTCACCAGCAGCGCCCAACTTTCCTAAATTCTGTCGATAACAATGTCCTCCCACCCACAGCCTCATTTTCGCGTTGCTTCCTCCACAGACTCGATGCACATAGAGGACGTCGAGGCCGTGCAGAAGCTGCAGGATGTCCTGCACGAGGCCCTGCAGGACTACGAGGCCGGCCAGCACATGGAAGACCCTCGCCGGGCTGGTAAGATGCTGATGACGCTGCCGCTGCTGCGGCAGACCTCCACCAAGGCCGTGCAGCATTTCTACAACATCAAACTCGAAGGCAAAGTCCCTATGCACAAACTTTTTTTGGAAATGCTGGAGGCCAAGGTCTGACTAAAAGCTCCCTGGGCCTTCCCGCCCTGCACGCTGAAAAAGGGAAAATCCATCCAAGAGTGATGTCGAAGAAATGTAGTGTGTAGTTACCAACATCAAAATCAGCAATGACTGCACTGATGGTTTAGCAGCTAGACTCTGAAGCAGCTTTCAGATTCCTCAAGATCTTCCCAAGGAGGGTCTTTCCCCCTGACCCCTCACCCCTTTTCCCAGGTCTCTTCCTCTTCATCTCCATGCCCCCCACCCCCACCCCCTGCTTCCCTCTCTGCTCACTTCTTCGTGGCTTTCTTCAATCCTGGGTTTCGTTGCCTCCTCCCACCCTTTCTTCCAAATGTTAAAGAGCTCTACTTATAAGGAAGCAATGTCCTTCCCTTCCTTTCCCTTCCTTCCTTCTGCTGCTGAACATTTAAAAGAGGTCTCTTAACTGATGAGAGATGGAAGCCAGCGCTGCCAAAGGATGGGAATCCACACGATGGATACCAGTGAACTTATTGCGAACCACGACGTCCCCAATGACTAAGGAATCAGAGAACCGACGTACTAAAAGTGCAGTGCAACACATACAAACGGACTCGAGTGCAGTATTAGATGTCACGGGAGCAGCCTCTGAGCAGACAATTTCAGCAACGTTGCATTGGCTGCTTCTTATCATTGCTTTTCCATCTAGATCAGTTACAGCCATTTGATTCCTTAATTGTTTTTTCAAGTCTTCCAGGTATTTGTTAGTTTAGCTACTATGTAACTTTTTCAGGGAATAGTTTAAGCTTTATTCATTCATGCAATACTAAAGAGAAATAAGAATACTGCAATCTTGTGTGCTGGCTTTGGACAATTATGAACAATAATGAAGGACAAGTGAATCCTGAAGGAAGATTTTTAAAAGAAAAAAAATGTTTCTGTTTCTTCTTACAAATGGAGATTTTTTTGTACCAGCTTTACCACTTTTCAGCCATTTATTAATATGGGAATTTAACTTAAGCAATAGTTGAAGGGAAGGTGCATATTATCACGGATGCAATTTATGTTGTGTGCCAGTCTGGTCCCAAACATCAGTCTCTTAACACGAGCTCCGGTTTATCTAAATGTTCACTGACACAAAGGCTTAGATTACACCTGTGGTGGCTTACACGCAGTCACGTCTGTTCCCGCTGCACGTGGAATGCAGATGCGTAGACTTATCAGGAGTACACCTCTCCACCTGGGAGGTCCTGTTGCCATATGATTTCTACCTGCCGTGGTGGTTAGGAATGAGATACTGCCAGTTTGCAAAGATTCAGACCTTTCCCAGAAGGAGCTAGGAGCCAGTATTCATGTAAGAGGCAATAAGGCAAATGCCACAATTTGGAGAAGAAAAACCAAAAAACACTGAAAATAGCAGACGCCTGACCAAATTCTAAAACCCAATCTGTATGAGTTGTTTTGGTTCTGTTGTTTTTTAAATTTTTGTTCATTTCAAAATGTTGATATCACGTAATCTGCAGTTTTTTACTAAGAACTAAGCCAATCTATGTGCTTTTCAACCAGTATTGTCACGGCATGAAAGTCAGTTAGGTTCCAGACTGTTGAGAGGTGTAATCTAATGAAGAAATGTATTAGATGCCCCCCGAAATCTACAGTCACCGAATAACCAATAAACAATCACCTCCATCAAATGCTATACCAATGGACCAGTGTTAGTAGCTGCTCCCTGTACTATGTGAACAGTCTTATTCTATGTACACAGATGTAATTAAAATTGTAATCCTAACAAACAAAAGAAACGTAGTTCAGCTTTTCAATGTTTCATGTTTGCTGTGCTTTTCGGAATTTTATGTTGCATTCAAAGACTGTTGTCTTGTTCTTCTTGTGGTGTTTGGATTCTCGTGGTGTGCTTTTAGACACAGGGTAGAATTAGAGACAATATTGGATGTACAATTCCTCAGGAGACTACAGTAGTATACTCTATTCCTTACCAGTAATAAGGTTCTTCCTAATAATAATTAAGAGATTGAAACTCCAAGCAAGTATTCATTATGAACATCAAAATCATCATAATATTTTCAAAACATGGAATAATTTCTCTAATGGTTTATTATAGAATACCAATGTATAGCTTAGAAATACAACTTTGAATATTTCAAGAATATAGATAGATAAGTCTAATTTTTAAATGCTGTATATATGGCTTTCACTCATTCATCTCTCAGATGTTGTTATTAACTCGCTCTGTGTTGTTGCAAAACATTTTGGTGCAGACACGTTTCCAAAACTATTGCTACTTTGTGTGCTTTAAACAAAATACCTAGGGCTGATGTTGCATCTGCCCAGTGCTAGGAATACTGTGTATCTATCATTAGCTATATGGGACTATATTGTAGATTGTGGTTTCTCAGTAGAGAAGTGACTGTAGTGTGATTCTAGATAAACTATCATTAGCAATTCATTCAGATGGTCAATAACTTGAGATTTATAGCTGTGATAGGAGTTCAGAAATTGGCACATCCCTTAAAAAATGATAATGACGATGATGATGACGACAAAATACAACTCCTGGGAGGAAAGAAAAAGAAAAAAAAAGGTGCTGATTCTCTTAAAATTATTTATATATGTAAGCGTTTAAAAAGATTATTTTCCAGAAAGTTTGTGCAGGGTTTAAGTTGTTACTATTCAACTACACTATATAGAAATAAAATATATACAATATGTATCTTGTTTTCACTGTATCACATTAAAGTACTTGGGCTTCAGAAGTAAAAGCCAACCAACTGAAAACATGAGATGGAGATACAAAGTAATGAATGAGGCACTTTTTTGGTTTCTTCAGTGTAAGTGATTCTCAGCATTAGAAGAAAACAAGTATCTCACAAAGCAAACTGAAAACATAGACTTCAAAGAATTGCACGAACTTTAGGGTAAACGTTCATCTTAAACCTCGCCTGAGGTATGTGTTTTGATTTTCTGCTCAGTTTCAAGCAAGACCATTTACTTAATGTGAAGTTTGGGAAAGTTTTAAATTAAGGTGTATGCTTTAGCCATATGGTTTTAATTTTAATTTTGCTTCTTTTAGGTTTGTTCTTATTTAAAGCAATATGATTGTGTGACTCCCAGTAGTTACACTTGTGTTTCAATCAGATCAGATTGTTGTATTTATTCCACTATTTTGCATTTAAATGATAACATAAAAGATATAAAAAATTTAAAACTGCTATTTTTCTTATAGAAGAGAAAATGGGTGTTGGTGATTGTATTTTAATTATTTAAGCGTCTCTGTTTACCTGCCTAGGAAAACATTTTATGGCAGTCTCATGTGCAAAGATCATAAAAGGACAAAAAATTTAAACTGCTTATAATAATCCAGGAGTTGCATTATAGCCAGTAGTAAAAATAATAATAATAATAATCAAACCATGTCTATAGGTGTAGATGGGCTTCACATCTGTAAAGCAATCAATTGTATATTTTTGTGATGTGTACCATACTTTGTGCTCCAGCAAATGTCCATTTGTGTAAATGTATTTATTTTATATTGTATATATTATTAAATGCAAAAAGGAGATATGATTCTGTAACTCCAATCAGTTCAGATGTGTAACTCAAATTATTATGCCTTTCAGGATGATGGTAGAGCAATATTAAACAAGCTTCCACTTTTGATTGCTGTTTTGTATTGTTTTTCTCCACCCCCCTTTCAAGAACAGAATCAATAAACACTGCCCTTTGTTGCTTCCATTCAAAGAGTATCTCTGAGTACCTGTTCACTAAATGTAAAGTAGCTTAAATAAGGGCTATATAAAGGCTTGTCAGAATGAATTCTAGGGTGCCAAAAGACATTTTGCATATTTAAGAGTATGCAAAGTGTCTCATGGCACATTAGAATTCATTCTGACAAGCCTTTATATAGCTCTTATTTAATCTTAAAGCATCTCCACATCATCCTGCATTACTCAAAAATCATCGTCTCTGTGTCAATGTCATAACACAAAACTTTCCCCCTATTTTAAGATCATATTAAAACCTGCGAGAGAGACCTGCTATTTCCCTCCATCGACAATGAAGCCCTGCGTTGCACTGAGCGCCTCAGCAGGCTGCAGGCTTTGTGAAGCAGCCTGGGAACTGCTGCTGACCAGATTTCTTGAATGGAAGGCACCGGAGGAGCCTAGTGTAGAGCCTTGGTGGGGTGGGAGGGGACCTGTCTTCAGATCCAAGAGGATCACATACCATCCTGACAGCAGCCTCCCCCTGCCTGCCACACCCAGAAAGGTCTCAGGCTTTGCTTGGCAGGGTTGAGCTGTGCCCCCCAGGGGCCCTGCTGGGACCATCATGGAAGGATGTGCTCACACTTGCCGCCTTGGCGTCTCGGCCTGTCTGGGCAGTGTTTTGTCATTGTGTGTGCCCACTGCCCAGAGGTGGCTGGTTCTCCAAAGAAGCTAGTGATGACACAAAGGCCACACAACAGAAACAAGTCCAGGGGCTCAGCTGAATCACCAGGTGCACAAGCTAGCAAGATAACTCGAGTCCCCTTTCCATAGGTCAATGTTCTCTGAGTGGCAATATCGCTAATAAAATAAAATTAGAATTTTTGATTTTTAAAGTACCCAATGCAAGATAAAAAATATAAAAAAGAAAATTATGTCATCTCCCAAAGAGGGGACTTTCTTTATACATCATACAATGTGATATATATATATATATATTATAATGTGAATAAACATTTTAAAGAATTATCTGATCCTTAAAATGTAGAACTATTACAGAGCGACTTTTTTCTCCTGAACATGAAATGATCTCACTGCTGATGTCTCCAGTATAAAATAATATTACAAGGTAGGTTTTCGACGTTTTAACACATTAGTATTTCTTAATATATAAACATGAAGCTTAGACAAATGGTTATTTATTGGCTGTAAGGGGATCCCTTTCGTTTTTTATCATGTTTACGAGTTGTTTGTAGCTTCATTGCATATTGGGACCACTGGGGGAGTTTCAAGACATCACTGATGTCTATAGTCCCTTGAATGACCCCTGGTGGCCTGGCTGGCAAAGCACTGAAGTGCCAACTAAAAGATCAACCATTTGAATCCACCAACTGTTTCAGCAGAGAATGTCGCGGCCTGTTAACGATCAGCCTTGGCAACCCAGAGGGACAGGTCTACTCTGTCATGAAGGATCACTATGTGTTAGAATTGACTTGTTGGCAGCGGGGTTGGTTGAGTCTGGATGTTCCCTTCACAGAGCTTTTATTTCATGTGGACTGAGATGTGTCCTGTGATTGAGAATGTTTAAAAAGATGCCCAGATGTTTCTCAGGTGAAGATAAGTTGAGGAAACGCTTCAAATGTTCATAGTTTGCTCAAAGGCCAGAATCCCTGGTCACATAGAGACTGGGGGAACCTGCAAGACAATGGCCCTTCGTCAGCCTTCAGGTCTGCACTCAGCAAGCAATAGACAGAGAAGCCAGAAATAATTTTACAGGACCAACAAAAACCCTCATGCATCAACTAAAATGTTGCGAACTTTGCCTTTTCCTTACATCACAGAGACACTCGGATTATC